ATGCTATTTGGCTTGTTAGGACAGCAAGCATGAAAGTCTGCGGGTCGGATGGTTTTCCCTTCTTCTCAACAGAATCCAATAGACAAGAAAGAATTGAAAGCAGTCCTTTGCGCATTGTCTTCTTCATTGCGTTGGATGCCATTATCCCCTACCCCAATCCCTAGAGCAGCAATCACAATCTCCTTCATTCAAAGGGATTGGTGTCACTATGCTTAACACATGTGAATTGGAAATGGATTGGATGCTTCCTCAACAACGTTTAGGGAGCGGCGACCAAGAGCTGTTAGTGTACCAGCGCTTACTCTTGCATCGCTTACGGGAGCAAGTCTAAAAGACGAATCAACTGTTCATGAAGACACTGTTTACGCCTTATCCATCGGGCTTACCCCTGTTGTTGCGGAATAAGCACTCTTGGAAGAAGCAACTGCCTTCCAACATGGACGAGGAGGAAAGAGAAAAAAGAACAAATGCGAGGCCAATAGTGCCTTACGAAAGCGAATAAAGAAGAGAAAGGTCAAAGCGATACGACCCTTATTCCAATTCAATAAGGGATGACCCCTAAGCAACGGAAATCCCCTCTTGTTCCAAAACCACTAGGCATCGAAACAGATATGATAGAAATGCCCCGAAGAGGCCTAAGGGACTGCTGTGAAACCTTCTTCGAAGTGCTTTTCTCGGTTCCAATTCCATGTCTATAGGATAAACTCATTTAGATTCATTGAGCTTAGAGCTCACTTGTCTTATGCCATGAACATGCAAGCAAGCTCGTTTGGTGCTGAAGGAAAGGTTTGTGATTTATGAGTTATGAGAAATGCGTCTGAAAATGTCTTACTTGGAGGACTTGTCCTCGTTGATCTCAGCTGTTTAAAAGAAAATAGCATCAAACAACTTCTTGCAAACATTTCAGGTCTGTCCCAAACTCCCAGTTTTACTGTTATTATTATTATTATTTTCAAATGCAACTCTGGCATTGAATACCCTGCTTATGCTAGTGATTTTAAGGCGGCTACACATGGTTAGAGTTGTCTCCTCTCACTGGTAGAAAGCATATGTATCAGAGCCAAATTATATCATTATTTTTGCTGCTTTTTTTTTTCTTTCTCCTTAATCACTTTCAATTTTGTAAGTCCTTTTCTACCATATGCTTTTTCCACAGCTTCGTGTACATTGTGCTAACGAATTGCGAACACCAATTATTGGAACTACAAATATGGATGGCAAGCTCATAGAAGGTGGCAAAATTTGCCTGGCTCTGCACTTAGAAAGAACTCAAATGTGAAGTTTCCAAAGGAAAACATGCTTCTTCCCTCTGGCCTTATCATGGAGAGTGGAAGCATCTTGTGTAAACACCCTCGGCTACACCTTCACTGTAGGGAAATGATCTTACCAAATGTCTCTCAGTTACTGCAAAATCTGCAATTGTCTAAAGATCATGATCTTTCAAAACTCAAAAGCCTGGAAATAGTTGCAACATTGCCTTCATAGCAGGGATTTCTTTGAATTCTCGAGCTAACTGGGATGTTGCTATCAACTCTTAATTACTAGAAATTTGTCCACTTTGAGTATATTTTTATTATTTTTTAAAAAATTTTTATGGTTAAATACATGTCAATATTGAATTATTGATGCAATCAAAAAAAAAAAAAAAAAAAAAACAATTTAAGGTATCTCTAGCCGTATTATATCTGTGTTTCTAATCAAGTTTCTTACCAAATCTCCACGAGCAAAGACAAACGCCTGCTTCACAACAATTTTCCAAAGGATTTTTTTCCTTTTTGATTACATGATAAAATCTTAGTACGAGTTAAAAAAAGAGAAAAATCTGATTTGAAATTAAATTTTTAATGTTCTTTAAAACGTTTTTAGTCATTAGACCAAAGCTTGGAGATATTTTCAAAAGGATTTCGCTTTCAGTGGTTGTTTGCTGCCTTAATGTTTTAGGTTACTTTCCCCCACCAACCCTGCTGTCATATCATGATTAATTTTTTAGAGTTGAAATTCATATCATATAAACATTACAATTTTATATAAATTATTTTCTTCTATCTCCGTCTTGTTTTCTAACCTCAAATTTTTAATGGCTTCAGTCCAAAGAAAGATATGAATAAAGTCGTTATTAATATTTTAATTTTAAGTTAAAAAATTCAAGATATATATAATATATATTTTACAAGCAAAATTCAAAGAGTAGTTGCATCCTTAAAATATTACTTAAAATTGTACTCGTGATATTCGTTAAGTTTCAAATTAATTTAATATTTCTATTATATCAATAGAATACCATCTTTTTCCTTATATATTAAATGATTAAATTTTTTTATACCAAATAAATAGTTAGACATTTTTAATTAACTAAAATTTGATGTACAAATCTTTATAAATAGAGTATGAAATGAAACAACTGAATTAAATAAATATAATCATATTGAAATTATAAAATTGTATATATCTACATAAGTTCGATCAAGTTTTATGAAAATTATAGATTTACGATGTCAGTTAATCAATTATTTGCATTGTTATCCTGATTATTAATTACTTTGATTGACTTTCGTACCTACGCAGATTGCAATTCTAATACTTATAAATGGTGGAAAAAATCATCCAATCGAATTATTTGCAAGGTTATAACCCAAAAAAAAAATTATTTGATATATGGACAATAAATTTTTTAATCATATAAATAAAGTTAAGATGTTGACACATACACTTAAAAAAAATAATATTTAAAAAAAATTTTGAATGAAATTAAAAGTCTTTACTACCAATTAATCAAATAATTTCTCTTTAAAATATAAATTAAGACATGTAAGCTAGATTTCAAGTGACTTATTCATTAGCTACAACCTCAGGCATTTTTTTTTTGTTATTATTGTCCTTAATTGTTGGTAAATCCTTGATTATGCAACTTCAAAGGGAGAGACCAATTCCATTTGACACTTCAGAGTCTTGGACAGTTTTTTTATATGATTTCACTATCTGATGATGATAATCTTTCTGAAATCCCAGTGTCGTTTCCTACAAATAATCAACCCAAATACTTAAAATATAATAACCAACCTTTCGGAATTATAATCTTTATATTCTAATCCTTTTGTTGAATATTTAAACATTGGAAGTAACAATCATCAATAAACCTAACAACCTTTTTTTAAAATATATATGATTCTAGGTTTGTCATTTGGAAGGAAATCCATAAATATAAGCAACGAAACTAAACATCTACTGCTTGCAATGTTGTCGGATGATACCAAAATATTAGGTCCGGCTGGTTCTTAGATTATCATTATCAGTTGTGGGCTTGAATGTCTATGGATAACCCATTCCTTATATAATTTTTTTTTTTTTTTTAAGTTTTGGTTCTAATTCTTGTAGCAACAGGCCAGCAGAGATTCCTTTCAGCGATGAATATCCTGGAAAGCTGTGGATGAAATTTTTAGTCAAGCTCTTCGGTTTAAGTTGAAAAGAAAAAAACGTTGAAACCATGCAATGGTCACAGCCTAATAGCAACTGAACTGCTATATTATTTTCTTACAGAGGCATTATAATTAGTCCTTTTTCTTGTAGTCAGTCAGGTAACCTAACTTCGTTTGACCGAATCCTATCAAAGTTGAAAATTGTTTCGATCACTTAAAGATGCTTGTAGACGATGGATACCAGGGGCCATTGTACATATAGTGGTTATCATTTTTTTTCTTTTTTAATCTTTCTCTTTAAATGAAATTGTTTACAGTAGCATAAATTAATGAGGATGAATGCGACTATATATCTCGTCCAGGGAACGTGGCTACAGCTGGAACTTGGACGGGAACATGATGATATTGATCGATGATGCAGTTTTCTTAGCAAAATTATCAAATAGGGTGTGTCATCACCTGATCAGAAGATCTTAAAAAGAGAGACCATCAGGACAGATGGACCTTGGACAATTTCCCAGGAGAAATAACAGGGGGACAAATTCTGGCCCCCGGGGTTGTTGAAGCTAAAAATTAGTCTTCCGTGTCTGGTGCGAAACAATGGCCACCCATTAGATATGACCCACAAAGGAAACTTCCCTTCCAATCAATGCTGATTCGGTGTCATGATTTCAAAAATAGAATAAAAAATTTTGTCAAACTTATTGGATAGCTACCCTAAAGCACCAAATAAAATTTGCTTACCGGTAAATAAAGAAAATTAACAGTTATAAATCAAGTATTAATGTGGTTCTCATATTTCTTTTTTTTCTTTGCTCGTGTCTTAGTTCTCCCGAAAGATAGTTTTAGAATCTAAATTTTAATTTAATTAATTTATGTAATTATTTTTTAAAAAATAACATTTAATATTTTAAATTTTAATATTTACAATTTTTTATAATATTATTAAACTATGATTTTTTATTTAAAAATTTAAGTACTAGTTTAATTGTATTATAATAACATGTATGCTTACAATATTATGCTCTTCATTTTCATTGTTTTTATATTATTTTCATATATAATTATCAAAGCAAGTGCCAGTAGATAAAATTTCACAAATAATCATTTAAGAGACATATTATTAATTGAAAATAATTGCATTTATAACAGTATTACTTTGACATTGCATTTTAGAAAAGCTTGCTAATCTTTCTAAAGAGGTATGTCGCCACCAAGGTTCTTTGCAATTGTGGTCCAATGAATCAGGCAACCTACTCCACACTCTTGTTGATAAGTCAAAAGAATTTTGAAGAATAATTTTTTGCTTCTGACATTTGCATGACGCAGGATCAAATGCAACTTATTTCCTATCCATGATTTCTCTTTTTTACCCTCTAACCTGTGGGCCCAAGTGAGAACTTTCTATTCTTGTTGATTACGTGGACCAATCATATTGGAGTTCCAAGAGGGTGCACAATTTGTGACACATAGGATATCACTCCACCTGGGTTTACCTACCCTTTTGGCCGTGGGCCTACACATTGCTGAGATGTCCATGTCTCGATGAAATCCTTTGGAGTTTCAGGTTTGTACCTCTTTTTTTATCTATTGTTCCCGTTTATATATAGATGGAGTTGGATGTTTGGATTCTCCATTACCCCAAGCCCCTTTTGTTTACACACTAAAAGGAGAGAATTTGATCAAAGTGAAAATGGGGAGCCTTGAAACTGAGAGAACAACTACGGGATGGGCAGCCAGAGACCCTTCTGGGATCTTGTCTCCGTACACTTACACTCTTAGGTATTCTTAATTTTGCCTTTTTTTTTTGTGGGGGGGTTTAACTCATAGGTATTCTTAATTTTGCTGGGTTTTTTTGAGGTTCGTTTCTAATTCTTACCTGATGATTGATAAAACATCATATTTGCAGGAACACAGGTCCAGATGATGTTTTTATCAAGGTTATTTGCTGTGGAATCTGCCACACTGATATTCATCAAGCCAAAAATGATCTTGGCATGTCAAACTACCCAATGGTTCCTGGGTACTACTAAAACCATCTCCTATATTGTTTACCAAACCTGTTTCTTAATCTTCATGTTTACGAATCATTTTTACTTTCCTTTCCAGACATGAAGTTGTTGGTGAGGTGGTGGAAGTGGGATCACATGTAACCAAGTTTAGTGTAGGAGATGTTGTTGGCGTTGGTTGTCTTGTTGGATGTTGCAGAAATTGCAGGCCATGCAACACAGATCATGAACAATATTGCAACAAGAAGATCTGGTCTTACAATGATGTCTACACTGATGGCAAACCCACACAAGGTGGATTTGCTGGATCCATGGTCGTTGACCAAAAGTAAGGATCAGAAGTTGAAAACTGTTATCATAAGCATAAACAATGTGTTCTGCATGAAAACATTGCTGAAATTTTTTTTTTCTCAATTCTCAGGTTCCTTAATTGCATGATTATAGAATATCTAGCTTAATTTTCAAGCCAAACTGAGTCTCATATTAATCATGAAATATATATATATATATATGTATGTATTCTAGAAGTTAATAATAGAACAGTCCAAGAGAAATTAGTTTCAACCTGTACCTTTGTTTTATGGAATATTTTTTCTTGTTAAATGAACTTATTTGTTGTTATCTGTTTTAGGTTTGTGGTGAAAATCCCAGATGGAATGGCCCCGGAACAGGTGGCACCACTCTTATGCGCTGGGGTGACAGTTTACAGCCCACTGAATCACTTTGGTTTAATGGGGAGTGGTTTAAGAGGAGGGATATTGGGACTTGGAGGAGTAGGGCACATGGGGGTGAAGATAGCAAAAGCAATGGGACATCATGTAACTGTTATAAGCTCTTCTGATAAGAAAAAAGTAGAGGCCTTGGAGCATCTTGGTGCTGATGACTACTTAGTCAGCTCTGACGCTGAAGGGATGCAAAAGGCTGTTGATTCACTTGACTACATCATTGACACTGTGCCTGTTTTTCACCCTCTTGAGCCTTACCTTTCATTGTTGAAACTCGATGGAAAGTTGATCTTGACAGGTGTTATTAACACCCCACTTCAGTTTGTTAGCCCCATGGTCATGCTTGGTGAGTCAAATTCTTTAACTTTGAGCAAATTTTATATTTTATATTTTAGGGTTTTTCAGTTGAGTCTGAATTTGAATTGCTGGTTCTTGAGGTCAGTAAATAAATGCTTCTCATTTTGGCTGCTCTGTTTTTTGGTCTGGCTATAACCTATGGATTTTCTGAAGTCTAAGGCAATTCTCTGTTTTTGATCTGTTTGATCTGTCCAATATTCTATAGGGAGAAAATCAATTACAGGGAGCTTTATTGGGAGCATGAAGGAAACAGAGGAGATGCTTGACTTCTGCAAAGAGAAAGATTTAACCTCTATGATTGAAGTGGTGAAGATGGATTATATCAACACAGCAATGGAGAGGCTCGAGAAGAACGATGTTCGATACAGGTTCGTCGTGGATGTTGCCGAAAGCAAGCTTGATCAATAGAATAAAAAGAAAAGGGAAAAACTCGTTTAGCTAAACATCATTTATATTTCATCAACAATGAAATACTGCGTGTTTAAATGTGACTGTTGAATGGTTGCTTTGTTTTCTCTGTTTGTTCAAATGAAAAAGAATATTGCTACCACGTTTCCCTGCGTATGGCAATAAAAGGAAAATATGAACATGAGTTGTTATTTGCCTTTTTTTTTTTTTTTGGGGAGTCGAAGTTCATTAATTATAGCACTACTAATGTAATTCAGTTTGATTTGTAAGTGTTTTCTTTTTCAGTTACTTCCTTTTTGCCTTACCATGTAGCAAGCTCTCTTGTTCTGTTTTCACCCATCTAAACCCACTCCCTATCAATCTTTTGTTTTAGGGACTCGGAAGAATTTGTAATATTTTTAGTATTTTATTCCGATTGGTGTTGAGTTTTTACGATCAATTTTCAAGAGAATTCTTCCCAACACCGATGGAATAAAAAGGCGAAGTCCATGATTTTTTGTTTGTAAGTTTAAACCCAGAAATGACTTCCCCAATAAAAGTTTAGACCAAGAATATTGGGAAGAATCATCCGATATGCAATAGAGGCATGGGAAAAAGGAAGGATTTCAAGGATTATAACACTCCAGCTGAAAGCTTCTTGGCTAAACTAATACAAACAATTTGCACAAACACAGCCCATCACCGGTACCCGGAAACTCTACAACAGTTGAGAAGTCCAGCTTTATGGAGCCTGAATTTGGTTACAGCCGATACATTAAACTCGTTTCGACAAAGCAATAGTTTTACAGATCTCATCAATAATTGGCACAATCCATCAAATGGTGAAGTTATCATCTGAACACAGCCACAGGTATTATAAAATATGACAAATACATGTAAAACACAAAAATGCAAATCCCATCAGCAATTATTTGAGATAGAACACTATATATTAACAAGAAACAAATGGTCAAATCATTACATTTCGAATAGCTCCATTTGATCAGTCATCTTAATCACTGAAAATTCATTTTCTAGCCTAAGTTCATTTGGTTCTGATTTCTGCTCCTGATGGTAAGAAAAAACCATGAAGAAGGCTACAAAGGCTTCTTCAGGTTGAGGTTACCCTTTTTTTCTCTTCTCATTTTTGCTGCATTTCTCCCTTTTACATGTATGCAAATCATCAAGCCTTCTAACATTCATGCAGCCTCCAAACTAGTCACTGATCTAATAATTCGTGCTATATTCTGGAGGGTTAGAAAATCATAACCTTTGGCTGAAGTATATATTCATAAAATATCTTGAAGGATTGAAGCCACTTAAAATCACTGCACGGCAACAGAAGTTTGGTTTCAGCTTAGCTATGATTCCCATGCAAAATCAAAATTAGATATCAAGTCACACACTTACAGATAGGAGATAGAATGATTACTACACCAATTGGATAGAGGAAAAAGGTTGTTCTCTCCAAAAAGGGAAGTACTGCAGCAAAATAGATATGTGAGTTCGTGAAGGTAAAAATTAGCCATTTCTTCAATAAGTTTCATACCCAAAAGAAATGATAGGCTAGTCACCAAACACATAAAGAAAAAGAGCAAGCAAATGAGCTTACCGTCATAACCTAAAAAGTTGAGGTAGTGATAGTAAGAAGCTGCCACCACGAAAAGCAGATTTGACAGCAGTTCAGGTATAAAACCATGGGCTACCAGAATCGGTGACAGAAAATAATGAATCACTGCAAAAAACCACAATATTAGTCGCTTCTAAATCCATTTAGTTATTGAAATGATAAATGAAAGCGCCAAACAGGCAATAAACATAAAATTACCATAAAGCATTATAAACATTGGGAAGAAAGAATTGCAGTGCACATCAAATGCGTACAGCCTTCAAACAAAGGAAAGCCACAGTCAGCACCGCAAAATTATTTTAGATACTAATATCCACAAGCTACTCTGCTGCTTGAGGAAATATAAAGCATTGATGATCCAGATCTGTCAATTAACAATTAAACCAGTACAAACAGCTCATACAAAGAGAGATTAAATTTCTGGAAAGTTAGAAAGAAGTCTCCACACTTGCCATTCAACCCGTTGTTCAACAACATGACTATTTGGAGCCTCTTCCCGAAGGTAAGCATTTGTCGAGAACCTGCATGGAGTCGGGGAATGCAATTCACCATCAAACAACTGTACTTGTGCAAGCCCTGCTAGGATGAATGTAATAATAAATATAATTCAAGTAAATAACAAAGCTATAGAAACTAATCAGCACAGTACTCCAGTTCTTTCAACCAGATCAGGATGTTCGACCTTAATGCATAAGTTTTTATTTGCACGAAAAGGTAGTGTCAGGGAACCTTATATCTGCTTAGTCAGAACAGGTGCCAAAAGTTTTGCTATTTTTGTATCCCTACATTTGTGTCAGAAGCTTGCAGCATTCTCATATACATTCTTACTGTTGTGTTTCAACTCTTAAAATTTTTTTTATGGGAATAAGGATATGCAACAAGCTTAAAATATAAAGGCTGCAACTTCCACGTGTAGTTAAATCAATTTAGACTTTTGGCCACCAATTCCTTGGATATCACAAGCACTGGGAGTAATTCTAAGTAAAAAGTAATGGCAAGCTTGATCTCCCTCCTTTGGTAACAATAATGTCTTGGAGACAACAAACGGCTACAGGCCTATTCCACAACCATAATTACATTCCCCAAACATCATACCACATTACAAAAACAGTGAAACAGTTATAGCATTCTGCTCCAGCCTCAGACCCATTAAAAAGAATGGGCATGGCATCATGTATTATATAAGTTTTTCCACCCTTTGAGATAAGACATTGGCTTAAGTAGAGGACCAAAGTCCACATTATAATGTTATGGATCCTATTTCATCCAACCTATCTTTGCTTATTTCAAAAGCAATTTACATATTCGAATGAACATTAAATACCAACCTCAGAAAAGATATATCCGCCAGAGTATGCAGATAAACACAGAGTCAAGCTTGTGGCTATAGAACATAGAGGTCATTAAACTACAACGTAATCATTGTCATTTGTGCTCAATCAAGCAATTGTTGATACTAGTTAATCACATAATCAACTAATACAAACCAGTAAAAGTATTTCATTAACTTACATAGTAAATTAGATTATGATGATCATAGAAGCCAATACAACACATTACTGCCACGCTGTAGTGATAAAGCTGTGTAAAAAATAAACAAAGTATTGCACAGATATATGTCTACTTCCAAAAGCCACTAGACCATAAAAAAGAATGACAGGCACTAACCTAACTTATGCAGTTTTAGAATAAGTATTATCAGCACATGTGCTACAATTAAAGTCAATTTTGCGTTAACTGATAGTTAAGATATTGTTTTTAAGAGATACTAGCTCCAGTTCAAAAACAAAGAGAAACTTGCTCTTACCAACAACATGTAGCCAGAAATACACCAGCAAGTAAAAAATGGAAAAGCAATACTGAAATAACAACAAAAACAGCATGTGCAGCACTGTGATCATACCTGCATTAAAGAGAAGACAGCAAATATTATAATGACTAGGCCAACAAAATATCTGGCAGTTCAGAGGAAAAGGCAATAGTAAAAGTAAAAAAATTCCAATTTTGTTATTATAAAAGAATTCAAATATATTAGTATATTATTGGGGCCATGACATTACTCTACTTGAAAAAACTCAGCACTCTTACGATGTAGCCCTCAATCATGATGCTTATGACTATGAATCATCTAAGACTGTTAACATAAGAAATTCTTACAACAAAGATATCATATAAATTATAAGCACCATACGCATGCCAATTTGGGATCAATAAGATTTGAATCTAAGACTAATTCCAAATCCAACTGATGCCCCATCAATCTAAAGGCAATGACCACCTTTAAAATATCACTGTTTAGTGATTCATTTCCATTATAAGCAGCCATGCTTGAAAAGGAAAAAGAAACTTACGCAGCACAATAAGCTACTGTTGCAACTGCCAAAAGAAGGCTACATATTACAACAAAAGCAGGGTCGTCACGTGCCCACTGGTTCTTGGTTTCTGAACCAAAAAGATAAATAAACATATTTTCAAGTTCCTGAGATAATGGAAAGAATTTAATAACTTCACACCTTTATAAGTTAGTGGACATGAAACTTAAAACCCAAAAGGGAAAAAAGAACTATTTTTACCCTTTAATTTTAAAGCTATTACCTAGTACCATAACTCTTAGTGACTTATGTTTGCTTTCTATCTGTTGCTAGTTTAGGAAAATGCACAGGGAAGTGACCTAAGAGCTGAAAGCATTTTCCAACTGCATTGACATTCAGTTAACTACTTGATAGAGTACAAGCCAGTTGAACATGTAGAGAATACAATTTATCGTAGCACATATAGACATATAGGCCAAAGGATAATGGCACTTAAAAGAAAATAGTAAACAATGTGATAATGATTTGCACTATTGAGAGCTAATAATTAGCAGTATAAGCATGAACCCTTGATAAGAGTACAAGTCAGTTGAACACAACTAATTTTGCAGTCAATATACCTGTTGGAACAAAAGTAGCATGCTGTAATTAAAAACATTACTCCTAAAACTTAACATAAACAGATAAAAAAACCAAAACATCAATCAAACAGAAATGAGCTTACGTTTGTGATACTTTGTGTGCTGATAGCTGTCTCCACCATAGAAATTCATATGCACAATAGAACAAAAATAATTAGAAAAGCACATTTGAACACTCAAAAGACTTTTCTTTTAGCAGATAAGCCCTTTCAGTCATTCCCTTAATATGGCCCCAAAAAAATAATAATAAAAGGTACGGACACAACCAAGCAAACGCAAGGTTCCTGTACTGGATACAAAAGAGAGCAATATGTCATAATCCTATGACCTCTACCAAAACAAAAAGCATACTTGACATTCAACAATAACAATTTCTGGAGCAAAAATTAATAAATGGTAATTTTCTGGAACTGTATGTAATGAAAACAATAGATTAAAATCAGTTAGAACAAAACGGTGTGTCAATATAGGTACTCTTCTTCTATTCCTGGAATTATATGGATCTAACAATCAATAAGCAGTTGATGATGATAATATGGGACGATAAAAAACGAGTGGATTGATGATAAGGGGTGGATACTTACACGACCTTTGGGGCAGTACATAGGTGAAGCATTTGCCAGAATGTATATTCAATATCCATTTGTTGCCACTACACAAACCAACAAGGAAATAAGGAAGATGATGAGATGAAGCAACCATATACAGCAAAGATGCTGACGAGGAAATATAACAGTGATGACCTCATACATCCTAAGCGAAGTTAACTGCATATTTTGTTTCATTGGACGTTTCAACATCTCTGGCTGATGCGTTTTAACATAATACTTCGAATATAGAAATTTGAAAATTTTCACAGTACATGACTTGCTATTTCGTTTGAAGATTAAAGCAATGGAAAATTAACTGCTTACATGCAGCTATACCTGAGGCATACATCCAAATCTAGGTAGCATAAATAAGAATATATATAAAAAAGGACAAGTAAGCTTCACATTAGACATAAAATCACTTAAGAGGCTTAAACTGCTCAAAACTTAGCAAACCAATAACGTGAGTGCTCAAATTTAACTTTGCAAAGACATAAATTAAAGTCGAAAATCAAATTATTCATTTGATTAGAAAATTACCACTGAATTCGTAGAGATTCAAAGAGAAACGATCAGGGCTTCTTACTTTGACATATATCCAGGAAGAAACTCGTGAATCACTAATGGATCCAAAGCCTTATTATTAAAAATTACCTAATTCTCTCCTCATTACTTCTCCCACATTGAAATTAGAATTGAATTTCGGATTTCACATTGATTTATCATTTACAAACCTTAAGTCTACTCCTTGATGCCAGATATTACCCGCCACTAAATCCTAAAATTTAAATAATAATACTAATAAGGTAAATCTGTGAATTCCATCAAGCACTAGAGCAAAAACACATCATTAACTGACAGCAAAATGGATACAGGAAGCAAGACCGACAAGTTTTATTACTAAAAGGATGACAATTCGAACTTTAGATAGAAATTAGATGAAAATGAAGATCAGATCCAGCGAGAGAGAGAGAGAGATTGGACCTTCACAATTCGACGTAGGTACTGAGGGAACATGGGGTTAGGTCGAGATGCAGTGGGCGACGAACGCGTTTTGCTAACCGTTGGCAACATCTTCCTTTTTCTTCTTTCTTCTAGTTATTGTTGTTCGATTTGCTTCCTTGATCGAAGATCTGTTGGGATCTCTTCTTTTTTCCTTCTACAGTTCTGAGTCTCTCTCACTTGAGATGAGAAGATGGAAACGTAAAACGACGACGACTCTATTGCTCTCTGTCCCCGCCTTGCAATCGCTCTGACTGGACGCCAACCTGCCACCTCTGCCTAGTCTAATTGCCTAAACGTTAACATGGACCGTTTTTGACAGATGGGCTTCATATTGGGCTCAGAGAACCAAAACAAATTCTTTATTCCCAATTCATTGAAGTTATGATTGACGCAAAAGAGTTATTACTACGATGATATAATAATTATTTTATATTATATTTAATTTATATTTAAAGAAAAAAATAAAAATTACAAAAACAATTAATATTTTTTTGATATAAAATTATTTAATTCTTTTTAAGTAGAGTGAATTATTTTTAATTCATAAAATTAAATTTACATATTTAGTTATACGTTTAAAAATTATATAATAATTTAAATTGTATAAATTTTAAAAAATTATAATTTAATAAATAAATAAATAATTTTATTTTATTATTTAAATACATCTAACATAAAATAAGATAATATTTTTTAATTTAACTCTATTTATAATATTATTTTATTTTATCCTATTACAATCTTGTAGATCAAACATAACTTAAAAGTATTATATCAATTTGAGATAAAAAATTACTGATTTAAAAATTGAATTATAAATATTAAATTTTAAATTTATTAAATGTCATTTTTTAAAAGTATTTACATGAATTAAGCTAAATTTTACGTTCAAAGCCTATGTATGTTTTTATTGCAAAAGACTATTGATTAAAAGTTTCAAATTTTTTTCTAAAAAAAAAATTCAATCTTTTAGATACATGTTTTGTTATTAATTTGAATTTTGGATTTATTAAATCAATGATTAAAAAAATGTAAGAAAATATAAAACTTTTTATGGAAGTTAATTCTTCCCCAAAATAAAAAATACATAATGTTTTTTTTAAACTTATAAAATATATCACCTACCCCAAAAGTTCTAAAATACCTTTTTAACTTTAACAAGTTAGGTACGTAGTAGTTCGCAAAAAAAATTAAATTTGAATTTGTCACGTGTCTTCTCTTAAAGGGGAAAAAAAAAAGAAAAAAAGAGATACTCAATTAAACAAGAAATCGATTGGCCAAAAAAATAAAACAAGAAATTGTTTGTTGAAAAGTTTAATTGCTTTATAAATATTTTTCCGAAAAAAATTGTTTGGCCAAAAAAAAATTAAACAACAAATTGTTTGTTGAAAGGTTTAATTACTTTATAAATATTTTTTGAAAAAAATTTGCTTTTGAAATCCTTAATTGAAAAAAAAAATTTACATACTTTAATTACCAACAAGAAGCAATCCAAAACGAAAAAGAAGTAAAAAAACTAAAGAAATAGCTGCAGAATTTTCTAAAGTTTTATGTAACCTGTAATCTGTGGCAACCATAAGTCAATAATTTTCCAACATCCCAACCAAAAAAAAGAAAAGCCATCGAAAATATATCGTACATTATTGATACTGACCGTACCCCGTACGGCATAATGTAATTCGGTTCCTCTCCATCTTCCACAATTCCATTCAAAAAAGGGTAAAGAAACAGAGAGAAAAAGAAATCGACTATTTTGAAAAACAAAGAGTAAACAGTTCAGAAATAACCATTGAATAATGTTTTTCTTTATCTTTTTTGGCAGCAAAGTTGAAGCCAATTCACCTGACAAAAAAAACCACAATTCCTGATTTTGCTTTTTTTTTTCATTTATCTTTGTTCATCATCAAAATTATTCTATTTAGAAAACAAAGGAATTTTGTTTTCCCTTTCTGGTCCTCTTTCCTATCTTTTCATGAAATCCTAGGCGTCTAGATGATCTAATCTCTCCAGCTTAATCAAAGATTTAATTTAATAATCACTAATTCCAGTTTAACCCATCATTCAATATTCATGTTAATCCCAATCCTCTTAACCCCAGCATTCCTAACTCCTTCACTCTGGAAACCAAACTCAGACATGTAGTCTCTCACTTCTTTTCTAATCATCTCTTTCATCGCAGCCAAAAGGTCCGGTCCAAGCATCGCCATCTTTGTCCCACTCTCATGCTTTTCTGCTAAAGGCTCTTTCTCCTTAGAGAAGTTATCGTTATTCAACTCGCTAGATTCGTTCCAAGAACGTCCAAGAGTGAGCTTAGTTGAAACACCAGAGTGTTGCGTCGACTCCGCAAAGCTCAATCCTAAATCGCTAACATCAGAACCCGAAGGACTCCCCGGGTTATTACTAATGGTTGATCTAGGGGATTTAGCCGACCTTTTCTCTGATTCTTGAAGAGTATCCCCATTTTCCATTGAGCGTTTTCGCTTTAAGGTTGAGTTCCAGTGGTTTTTAACGGCGTTGTCCGTCCGGCCGTTGAGGAGCCTCGCGATGGTAGCCCACTTGTTGCCGTACTTGGCGTGGGCTTCGATGATGATTCCGTCTTCCTCCGGAGTGAAGGCGCGATGCTCGACTTCGGGTGACAACTGGTTGCACCACCGGAGTCTGCATGACTTCCCCGATCGACCAGGGATCGACCTCGATATCAATGACCAGTTTCTAGGACCGACCCGTTGCACCAGCTTGCGCAACGACTCATCCTCCTCGGGACTCCATGGCCCCTTGACCCGATCAAAGTCTTGATCCATTGGCTTGCTAGTAACAGTTTAAGAATCACAACGGAAATTTTAGTTTGGTTTGTGAGAGGTGGAGAGAAATTGAGAAGAAGCCTGTTGGGGGAGGCTTGATTGAATTTGTGAGAGGCCAGTGAAGAATAAGGAGCGTTTTATAAAGGGGTGGGCCGGTGGGGTTAGGGTAACTGATAGAGCCGGTTAACTAACACAGGTAATAAGCGTTATGTGAACTGGTATTGACCAGTAACCGGTTAAATGGTGATACAACTGTATAACGTCTGCGGGTGGCCACGTAGGCAAATACTGAATTTCTGAGGACCCAAATAAATCCTTTGGGGGTAGTATAGGAATTTAAATATGGTCGTTTCCTGATTTGACTCGTATAGTTATGGAAGTTACTAAAATGGAAAGAACTAAAGAGGTTCTGGAGGGTGAGAAAATCGCGATAATTTGAGGAGAAATTGGGAAGAGGATAAGTTTGTAGTTTGATTCAGCCAGCCTGGAAGCCATTACGTGGGAAATTGGTATTGTCGTTTTGTTCGGTTGCGCGTCGTTGTGGTTGTGCACAGAGTTCAGACGTGGACGGAAAACAAACTAGAGTAGTCAAAGAGATTGACTGACAGCTTGTCAGTCCAGCGTGTACACCTCTCATCGGAGATGACATGATAACGGCGTTCTGTCACCGACATGAGGTCACCACCGACCATTCCTAGCCCAAACCACCACAAAGCAAACTACTACGCCTCTGTATTTAACACAATAACATATAATTTATTCTCACTGTTCACGCTACGGCAACTTCAATTGTCAAGTATCAGTTGAATATGACGGGTATGGCGATTTCTCATAGCGACTGATAAAAGAGTCACAGCTGTCCTTCCGTTCAACAATGCCGTTAAAGGCAAACCGGCAGAAAAAAAAAAAAAAAAACTACGGGACTTCGTGACCTAATTCGTTCGTTTCCTTAATTTAATTTGGCGTTTAATAGTTTAAATTTCAAATTTGGATTAAGGAGGGCAATTAACGAGCAAAAGAAAGATAAGTCTCAACGGATCAAACATTGGATTTTTTTTTTTTTGTTATTGCTACCTACCACGCCTAATAGTTTCATATTTTCTTGTTGGGGTACGGTAGACAGTTTGGATTCTTTCCCATTGGATCAATCTTATAAATTAAAGAAAAATCAATAACTTATTCTGAAAAATAAAACATGTTTTTATTTAAAAAATAAATCAGAATATTATATGTGTTCATTTGCTCTTCTTGCTGTCTAACGTTCCTTATTTAATAATCATTTTATTTGAAAGAAAAAAAATTAATAAATAAATAAATTTTGATTGCGGCTTGGATGGATTTATAATAGTCAAAATTGTAAAACAACGTTGAAAATTATGTAATAGAAACCCAATACTCAACACACTCTTGACTTTACCCAATACTAATTCGTTGATGCTATTCATTTTGGAAAGACAATTGATTCTGTTCCAATAGATAATAATCTCGTCGAATCAACAGCATCTTTGGAGTTGGTACAATCCAACTTCCAAACTATACTAAAGTTTGAATTTTGATGGTACAATTCAACATTTGCAAGCTACATAGTGATAAAATGAAATGCAAATAAACAAGAACTTGTATTACTATCAATTTAGTTATGTTACAAGTTGAATTATACTTTTTAAATTCTTAATTTATTTTTAATTTTTTAATTTTTTATCTACTTAGCTTACATGAAGACAACATCACACGTTTAAGTATTATCATACTCGCAATTTCTATGACTCTATCATCATACATATCATCTTAGCTAATATCTAATTGACACATGTTACAATATGCTTGAGCGCAAGTCAATTACTTTTCTTAAAATAAATTTTGGACTTTATGGCTTTAAGTAATTATATGAAAAAATACTTAATATTATATCAAAATTTTTTAAAAATATATTATATTATCGGTATGTTATAAATATCTTAACTATGAAAAAATTATATTAGATTTTTTTTAAAGGTCTTATATTATTGGTGTTAGTCTTAAATTGATATTTATTTTAAAATGATAAAACATTAAACTAAATAAGCTTGATCAAGATTTTGAAAAAAATTTATTTAGTACATGTTCTTAAATTTTATATTTTGGTACTAAATAAATAATGTATTTTTCAAAGTATAAGTAAATTTTTCTTTGTTTTCATATTTCTCAAATCAAAAATATCTTTAAACATTTTTTATTTGAGCTTAAATGAAAGTTCAATTGTTGTTTATAAAGTGAATTTATTCATTTTAGACTTAATATAATTTTGATAATATTGATTTTGAGAAATAAATTAATTTAAAAAGTTATTTTACAATAACAAAGTTTTTCAACATTAAACTTTTTTTGTATTAATTCACAAAGTTTTAATATTTGAATTTTATATGATTGAAAAGCTCTTTGAGTCTACTTTCTAATGGATGAAACAAAATCAAAATTCAAATTTTTTAAGAAAAGATTTTGAATTTTTACTAGACATTTTACAATTGTCTAAAAATTGCATAATGGGTAGCTTTGTAAATTCGTTATAATTCGTACAAAATAAATTAGGTGATGAATTTTACATGGATAGAAAACCCTTTAAGTCTAATTTTTAAATCTTTAAACGATTTTTAATTTGAATTTGTATAACTTAAGATATGATCAAATTAGTGAGTAGAGTACAAAATAAAATACAATCAACATGTTTTGAACAAGATTGATCCCTTCAGAAAAGGGATCGATTGATTTTTTATTCAGAAGCAAACTTTGTTTTGAAATGGTAAGAAGAGATCGATCACCTTATTTAGAGGATCAATCATCCCCTTGAACCAATTGATCATTTCAAGGAAGAGATTGAATAGTAGGCTTTGTTTAAGCTGTGAATTGGTTCTAAAACATGAACTAATCGATCCCTTGAAATGGATCAATTAGGTCTGGGCAAAATAACTCCAACGACTATTTTTTCATGCTTCCAATGGGTATTTTCTTCTTCCAAGCTTTCCCAACGGCTAGTTCTTCAATTTCTCTATATATTAACCACTCTAACACATCAAGAAAATTGATAAAGTAAGAGAGCAAAAGTCAACAAGTTATATTTTTAGTTTCTCATAGAATCAATAGTTGTTAGAGCTTAAAATATATATCTTTTGTATTTGTTGTATCTAAGCAATATTGTGTTATTCATTTATCATATTTTTTTGTATTTCATTAGGCAAACACTTAGCCTTTGAGAGATATTTTAAGTTTACATTTTTATTAAGTGATTTTGTAATCAAGAGGTGAGGTATCCTCTTGAATTTATAGGGTTAAGAGGTTGCTACTTAGCCTAAAAAGTAAAGAGTATAAGGTTTTATCTTAAGCCTTACAAAGAAAAAGATATGATTGTAATTTCAATTCAAAAATAGTAGATTGAAGCCCTGATGTGACAAACAAGAGAGAGGACATAGGTACTTGTGGATAATGACCGAACCTCTATAAATCTTTATGTTTGATTTTTTTATCCCTATCTCTTTATTTTGATTATTATTTATATTTGTTTATAGTTCATCAATTCATTGTTATTTGCATCATATTTTGATATTAGTTTTAAATTTCATTCAACTATATTGAAATCATTTGTTAGGAAAGAATTTGAAAAGATCTAATCTACCCCCTTTTGGATCCCTATCTCACTTAAAAAACTAATAATTAGTATGTTATAGATACTATATTCGAGATAGGTAATATGTATCAATCATTTTCTTATGAAGTAAAAATTCACAATTATACTTAGTATTTAGGTTTACATAATACATTGATATGTACTTGACATAATATGTGTGTTTATTTTAGTAAAATAAACAAATTCAAGATAAAAATTTTGAAATTAACTTTTTGAGCTAGTGATACATGCACCTTAACGTGTATTTTACATAATTAGCAAAATGAAAAAAAAAACAATAAATTATAAATTCAATAAAAAACTCGTAAAGATTATTATTTTTTAAATCTTATTAGATATTTGTTTTTACATTTTGCCTATAAGAATATAGTAGTTAAAGAATAGAAAAAATGATTATATATGTTGAAATTTGAATTTTAAATTTATTAAATGTCACCCATTATTATATTAGAATTTTCTTAAGTATCTTATATTATTGGTATGTTATAAATATAGTATTCGAGGTAGTAGATATGTATCTATCATTTTCGTATGAGGTAAACCTCCACAATTATACTTGGTATTTAGATTTAAATAATACATTGAGATGTATTTTATATAACATGTATGTTTCTTTTAATAAAATAAATAAATTCAATATAAAAATTTTGAGTTTAGCTTTTTGAGTTAGTGATATGTACACCTTGACGTGTACTTGACATAATTAGCAAAACGAAAAAATATGATAAATTATAAATTCAATAAAAATATGTGAAGATTATTTTTTAAAAAAATCTCATTAGATATTAGTTTTTACATTTTGTTTATAAGAATGTAGTAGTTAAATAATAGATAAAATGATCATATGTGTTGAAATTTGAATTTTAAATTTATCAAATATCACCTATTATTGTATTAGAAATTTTTTTAAGTGTTTTATATTATTGGTATGTTATAAATATCATATTCGAGATAGTAGATATGTATCTATCATTTCCTTATGAGGTAAAACTCCACAATTATACATGGTATTTAGGTTTACATAATACATTTAGATGTACTTGACATAAAATGTATGTTTCTTTTAATAAAATAAACAAATTCAAGATAAAATTTTGAGTGTAGCTTTTTGAGTTGGTGATAAATGCACATTGACGTGTACTTGACATAATTAGCAAAACGAAAAAAATATATATGATAAGTTATAAATTCAATAAAAACTCGTAAAGATTTTTAAAAAATTCACATTAGATATTAGTTTTTACATTTTATTTACAATAACGTAGTAATTAAATAATAGAGAAAATGATTATATTTGTCAAATTTTGAATTTTAAATTTATTAAATGTCACCTATTATCATATTAGATGTTTTTTAAGTGTCTTATGCTATTGGTATGTTATAAATACCGTATTTGAAGTAGTAGAGATGTATTAATCATTTTGCTTATGAGGTGAAAATCCATAATTATACTTGG